TGGAAGAATTAACAGCCATGGACATTGCTTGACTTGTTACTCTTAGGAGGGAGAGAGAGAGAGAGAGAGTGTGTGTGTGTGTGTGTGTGTGAGCTTTCTGGAGTGCCGTGCGTATTTGTATATGGACATTAAAAGGTCTTTTTCTAACGTGGGGATTCCTGATAGAAGCCAACAAACCAGCCTAGCCCAGAAAAAGATTGATGGACTTAATATAGCATTATTGTTGTCCTCCATCTGCGTGTGGGGGTTCCAAATTGAATGCCACACACGTGCAAGCATGATAGGCTACTGTTGTGGCTGTATTTCTCCCCTTTAGGCCCAATTGCTTCTCCTCTTTTCCCATAGTTGGGAGAAGTTGATTAGGGCATTGCAATAACGTTTTCTTGATGCATGACATATATCACCTATGGCTGATGGATGATCATGTGTTCTTTTCATGCAAAATGTTAATCTCCATAAGATATAAGGGCAAAACCACAACAATCTTGTGCAATATCTTTCTAGAAATAATATTATAGAAAGAGAAATACTACCAAATGAAGAGGTAAGTTAGATGCGATATATATATTATTCATGCCAGAGCTACCATCCACTCTTTTTCTACAAAAATATTATGTCTTACATTATCATTATCATTTGCCTGTCCCTTTCCTACTCTTGTTGGGGCCTATACATGCGCCCTAGACTCTATGTTACATCGAGGGTTCTATATCAGAAAAGGTTTCATGAAATTTACAGTTAAGATACAATTTCATATTGATCTTAATCTTTTACAATGTCGATGCTGCCCTTGGGGGTGGGATGGGAGCAGGTGGGTCATATCGGAGTTGAGGGATGTTGTTGGTGATAATAAAGAAGGGGAGGCTCAATTTTCGGGGCTGCTCCAAAATCGGGGCCCTCCAAAATAGGAAGCCCTGTGCGATGGTACCACTCCAGAGCCAGCCCTAAATAGGGACATGTTGTTTGGATCAGAGTTGAGGTGGATAAACAACAAGGAGAGGCTGTTCTTAGAGGCTGGGGGCATGTGGGTCGGATCGGAGTTTAGGGGTGAGGGGTGGAGGATGAGTTGAGGAAGAGGTGTTGAGCGTGTGGTTGCGACGAGTGTTATAGATTTGTTTTGTTAGGTTATTTGTTTTTGTTTTCTTCTGCTTTGGTTGTATTTTAAACTATGTATAAAGATGTAATGTTTATCTTCACATGTGGCACCAAAAAAGTCTAAATAAGCATAAAAAGTGGGACCTACAATTTTCACATTGTTATCGAACTACTACTATTATTATTATTATTGATTTTTTTATGCGGAAAGAAAAATTACAACCTGAAACCTCTCAGACATGCATGCCCAAAGAGATCAAAAAAGAAAATAGGCACTACATATAAAGAACGTCCAACCTCCCAAAAAGAAGGAAGGGAACATCCCATGACCTAAGTTGGCTAAAGCATTAGCTAGAAAATTGGTTTCTCTAAACACATGATAATGGAATCACAAAAAGAACTCGAGTTAAATGTAAGTTTTGTTTGAGTTTAGGTATAAATCTTAAAATCTTTATAAAAAAAAAGGAGACAAATTTGAAATCGACTTCATAACTTGAAGGATTTTATGTAGTTAAAATCCTATCGTTTTGGTGTCTAAAATTTGGATTGAATTGGATATGGAAACTTATGAAGACATGCCAAAGAAGAAATAAAGAAATTTTTCCAAATTGGAATAGAAGATGAATTATTCATGAAAGAAACTTCTTTTATGTTTTTTGGTCATAAGTTTTATTCCATTTTATCCCCACAAAATAGTAGGAAATCAACCCTAATCCTCCTTCTACATGACATGTTTACTGATTCGTAATCAAAATCCATTACTAATCCCTAATCGGAATCAAAATAAGAAGTTGGATTCCAATTACAGATTACTCATGTGTTTACTTAATATAAAGAATGAAAATGCGAGTAGAGTCCACACAAATTAGGAATTCAACTCCTCATTTGGAGGAATTAGACTTTTGGATGGGAAGTGGTATTCTAAATCTTAGAGAATTAACCAATCAAAAATTCATATTTTTTTACCCATTATATAATCACACAAATTTTAAAATTCAAAATAGGAAGGGAACATCCCATGACCTAAGTTGGCTAAACACATGATAATGGAATCACAAAAAGAACTTGAGTTAAATGTAAGTTTTGTTTGAGTTTAGGTATAAATCTTAAAATCTTTATAAAAATAAGAGACAAATTTGAAATCGACTTCATAACTTGAAGGATTTTATGTAGTTAAAATCCTATCGTTTGGTGTCTAAAATTTGGATTGAATTGGATATGGAAACTTATGAAGACATGCCAAAGAAGAAATAAAGAAAATTTTCCAAATTGGAATAGAAGATGAATTATTCATGAAAGAAACTTCTTTTATGTTTTCTGGTCATAAGTTTTATTCCATTTTATCCCCACAAAATAGTAGGAAATCAACCCTAATCCTCCTTCTACATGACATGTTTACTGATTCGTAATCAAAATCCATTACTAATCCCTAATCGGAATCAAAATAAGAAGTTGGATTCCAATTACAGATTACTCATGTGTTTACTTAATATAAAGAATGAAAATGCGAGTAGAGTCCACACAAATTAGGAATTCAACTCCTCATTTGGAGGAATTAGACTTTTGGATGGGAAGTGGTATTCTAAATCTTAGAGAATTAACCAATCAAAAATTCATATTTTTTTACCCATTATATAATCACACAAATTTTAAAATTCAAAATTTGCCATCCACTTTAACCCAACAACGAGCATTTTAATAATCAAATTGGTTTCAATTCCAATCCATGGAAATTTAGTAAACTTACAAGTAATCTGTACCATTTCTACCCGATTCCAAATAGTTAAGTAAACATGCTATAAATCTAGTGAGTTAACCAATCCAACCATGATGTACGCTTACCTGATTAAACAATGATACTTGACTCATAGTTTCGCACGTGTCATAACAATTCTCACATGCAATAACAATTCTCAGTGCATGTTCCCATCGCATGCGGGTGTTCTGAGATGTATCCATGTCAGATCAAACATCACACGTGAAGGGTCGATGTGACTCCACGTGTTGTTTCATTTCATAAGCCGATACCTTCATCTCCATGTGGGGTAGTGGACATGATATGCCCAAATATTTACCAATTGACTGAGCTCTGCATCCTTAATTGACTTCGTCGTTTGCATGTTGAGCGCCATGACAGAACTGAAGTACTATTAGAAGCTGCTTATGACATCAAGAACTTGGAGCTATTTTTGAGAAATTCTAATTCAACAGACAACCAAATAATACTGCTAGATGAGTTACAGGTTACCTGACCACTGATGAGCTGTCCTGGCCTCTTATGATCAGCAGTTCAGTTTTGACAAGACGACCTTCATATCCCCGCCCACGAGGATTTCATGTCAAGTCTATTCATACTAAAGTTCACTTCCTCTGCAGTAGCTTTCAGTATGGAAAATCTCCAATTCCAATCTCTTTGCTGTGCAAGTTTTCATATCTGTGCATACGTAATTCAACAGGGGAAATTACACCACAAAATCTAAAAGCAAGTTCTTGTTGACGTAACTTCTAGCAGCCAATTATCTGTATTCCTCCGGAATTAGAATGGGGCTGCGTTAAAAAACACCCTGCAACAGCAAATTGTCCTTTAGACAGCAACTTCCATCTGAGGGACCCCGTGCTGAACATGGCCAAGTTTGATCAAAGACCTTCAAACAGTAAATACTCATCATACAAGCTCACAACAACAGGCTTCATTATCGTATTATAACATTCCTTAGAGAACGTGACTATGTCTAATTAAACGAAAGCATAAGCATCCTAATTACAACAATGCCTGTACATTCCAGTTATTGAAACTCGTAATGGATTCCTTATGCTTTCAGTCAACAAGCTTCCTTAGGTGCGATCTGAGCAGTCCTTTCCCTGCACCACATAACAAAACATACACCTCAGAGATCAATGCAGATACTATCTAGCATCAAGATAACTATGAATGATTCTGAACTGATCAAATATCTTCAAAGGCCTTATCTTTTCCTGAGATAATGCTAGTGACAAGTTAAACAGTACGGTATACTCATCCTCTTACAATAAACCACATAACCTAATACCCATTCTCAAGTACAAATAATATAAGATGCAGCCATATCCATAATTATGTGTTAAGTTAAATAATATTATTCAATTGTTTCCAACGGACCTGTCTACCATCAATGCATATATAGACCACAAGGGTACCAGATACACGACCCTTGGTACAAAGAAACAAACAGGTACATGACAAATACATAAAACCTAAAAAGCTAGGTCGTAGCTTCCCACATCGCGGTATGGTTTTGCTGTTAAAATGGAGTTATACAAAAGAATGCAACTGCCTGCAGGATTATGAACATATCATGTGCTAAAAAAGGTGAGCTGACATCGATGATGAGCGACAGCTATGGTGAACCACATGCTTCACTGTTTCCTTGTGCACTACAGATTGCTGCTCTGAAAGGACTTTTTCAGGAAGCCAGCCCTTGGAGGCTTGATCCTCTGCTATCACATTTGTAAACCGTTCATTTGATTTGTTGTATTTTAAAAATAATTTCCTCTCTGAATTGGCCATGGTGACGACCTTCTTAAGGTACTTTGAAGACGCTGAAATTCAAAAGATTGGGACAAGAAGAATAAGGATATTGGTGTAACATATAAAGATTGACTACCAAGTTGGAAAAAAGTGAAAAGAACCGAATAGAACACCATACTAAAACCATAAGCAATGGACATATGTTATTACAACGTTATGTATGTGGACAGCAAATCAACTTGGCAATAAAGCACACCAGAATGTAAGATATTTCTTGTTTACTTATTAAGTTACTTGTGTCATCTCCAACTAAACTGAGCATGAGTTTAGTAACTCGGTGCAAGATAGAAAAGTTGTATCCTCAAAACTGCCAAAAAACATAAATAATAGTGAATTGATATTTGTTAAATGGTCTTCTGGCGGTGGCTCACTGTTCTAATTATTTTTTCCCTCCAAGCTTACCAAAGAGGAGGAAAACAAAAGGAAGCAGAGTCTCTATTTTAACAAACAGAATACTGTTTGAGTGCTCAGTAAAGAGCAGGCCAAACATCAGACTTTTGCAACTTGTATGCTCACTGTGATGCATATTACATTACATTGCGCACCTGAAGCCCTCAGTACCTCACAAGTTTAGGTGATTTCAGTTGCCAGAACCAACATACTAAAAAGTAGATTTCTGGCTACAATACTGCTTCCTCCTCAACGGCCTTCCAATTCAAGGAATGCTGAGCAATCCTGACTGCCTGTTCTACATGAAGTTCTAATGCATGGGTTCACTCACACATGCAAATCACCGGCAGCTACCCTTAGCATTTCTCTAGCCTTGATTTATCTCACAAAAATAAAAATTTATCGAAAATTGCCAAAACATGGGATGGACAGATAGAATTTCAATTTGATGAGAGTTTCAATCTCAAAGGTGTATGAAAATAAAACAAAAAGAGAAAACAAAATTCTAAGCATCAGCTTTGTCACTCCTTGAGCCACTGTCAAGGTCTCACATCTTTGTGAGGTTGCTTTTCCTGTGTATAAATTATTATCTGAAAGTTCTAGGAAACCACAATCTAAATTGCAATATAATCCTATATGCTTAAAGAATATAGAACCAACAAAAACCTATGGCAGAGGCACCAACATAACTCATATTTTATCATAGCATAACTCTGAATATATTTTGACCAAACCCTCTCAACTGGACACGTGGAACAAATGGCCCACAGAGCAGAAGCCGACATGGCCCCGCCTAGTCACTGGAACTCGTAAGTACCATCAGCAGGGGTGAGCCCTTGGCAACCTCACCTGCCGATCCGGCTCAATGAAGGTACCTGCCATGCCACTTTCATGTGGACACATGACGACCCCTAGAGCTATGTCCACAGTCCCACATCGAAACTATAACCCAAGGTGCTCCACCCCTTTTGCCTATAAATAGGGCTCTTGCACTAATGCACAAAGTAATAGTAAACTTAGAGAACTCTATCCAATTACTTATCTTCTCTATCCTTAAGCTAACTTTAGCATCGGAGAGCCTTCGGCCGGTACCACACCTCTGCCGAAGGGGCCACGCGACTGAGGTAGACCTTCTATAAGTTGTGTCCAATTTTGGGCATCAACATATTTAATGGTATCAAAAGCACGCTTAGCAATTGATGCTGCTTTTGCACCAATGGTTTCTCATAACTTGACCCCATCAATTGATTCTTATGTTAATTACCCAATCAAACAGGAAAAAGGTGAAACTCTATTGTGAATGCCAATAAACTTGGAAGGCTCCAACGACGTACTTCAAATCAGTGCCTAACTTATATCTAGGCCAACTGGGTGTACCTGGATGCATTTCAAGAAGAGGCCTACATCAGGTAAACACCACCCAAAAGTTCAGCTAATTAAAGTATAAAAACAACATTTTTAAGAGTTTCTTCATTTTTAACTCCACTCTAACTGCAGAAAACACCAAAGATTGGCAGTGCCACAGATGTATTTTTTCCCAACTTTTATACACACACACACACACACACACACACATAGGCACACACACATGTACATATGCCTTCTAATAGATGTTCTTTCGATTAAAAGGTTGGTACCACATTCTCTACAAAACCCAAAAAACTTCCAAACGTTAATAAGAAAAGCAAGAGATTGTTGGCCATCTCTCCTACTGTTCAGTAAACAGTAACACACATGCACAGACACACATAATAGTGTCAAGATCCCCTCCAAGGTAGACCCAGCTTAGGTAGAACTGGGTCATAAATATTTTCCTTTTACTTCTTTTAGAACTTGGCTGTAAAATCTTTTAATAACTTTACAGTGATAAACATTATGACTACAGCCACTCATCCTATAAATATGATTATTTTCTTGACACCAACATAAGTACCATAAATTTACAATATCAAGTAACATGCTTCATAACTCATTTTGGAGCCCCAAGTCATATTTACCTTCGACTAACTTCTTCTTACTTTTCTTTTTCGATATAATTTTGACCAGTCATACTTCACCAGCTCCAAGTTTTTAAAGTATAAATTAAATAACCACCACCACTCCTAACATCTTAAGTTGCTATGCTTGATCACATGCATCAAACATGATTCACGCATGATTTTGTTTGGCTGATTAAGACAACTTTCATGGGGAATCTGCAGAAAAAATTGATTTTTCAAGTTGAGATAAATATAAACTAAGCACCAAATGGTGGAGCTTTTGGGTAGGAATAAACTAGTGATACTTGGCATTATATAACAGTATAGATACATTGCATATCAAATAGATTAGCAGGGTGCAAAAACCACTGAATCACATATGTAATGCCCATTTGCATTTCTGAAAGCTGTATCAATCAATTACTTCCTAGATTCTACCAATTTGGACTGTGGGATCATTTACTAGATTTCATAGGCATTGTTTCTCTTTTTTTCTTGTGGCCTAATAAAACTCTAATTTGCTTTCCAAGAACACACAGAACTTTCTAGAGATCAATTCAACACATCGCCAGATCCTTATCAATGAAACAGACTAAGCCTCTTAAAATACATCTCTCCTTGCCCACACTGAAGAATGAAAATATTTAGCTAAGTACACCATCACAAATATAATTGAACCTAGTTTTACATTTCCAGGCCTTAGTTTTGCAAAGGTGTTTGACTTAATGATTGTATCACAAATTATGAAATTAATAACCATCATTGCATCCATAAAAGAGCTTAATCTGCATATTCTCAAACACAAATGTTTAATAAACTGTGTTATAGAATTTGTAGTTTATAACTAAAGTGCTCCCTACTAGTTTATGATGTAGGATATGGGTGAATTGAGTATTTAGGTAATTTAGCGGCAGCAAATGGCTTCACAACAAAAGAGTTTTGGCTTCACACCAAGGAGTCTCTAATCTCTGGAAAGTAAACTTTTCTTAATATCTCAAATCTCAACTCCACAATGAATTACATGAGAGGGGTATTTATAGAAAACTAAAACCTAGAGACAATAGGATAAAAAATCCCTTGCTAAAACAGAAATTCTAACCTAAATAAAATAGGAAACTTAGAAATCCTACTAAAATCTGGAAAACTTAAAAATCTGACTAAAATCTGGAAAATTTATAGAACAAGTTAGAAACTAATCGCAGGAATAAAAAATTGCCAGATTTAAAAACCAAATTAAATGACTTCCTCTTCCATCTCTTTCTTTTGTAAACCCTAATGGGTTTGACAAAGATGTCCTCATCAGTTTATTCTTTAAGTTTGTGTGCTTAACTCCATTGCCCCTTTACAGTGCGCAATTGACACCAAAGCACAGAAAATATTATGAGACAAAATAAAAAGGCCAAAAGATAAAGACCCTTCTAAAACTGGAAGAATAATATGGTCCAAATTAGAATTGAAAAGGAAAGAATATAATAGGAGAAATAGTACCTTTAGGAGGGCTACTAGTACTGGCTGATGGAGGTGAAGCAAGCAGGGGAGCATACATGTAAGAGTCAGACTTCAGATAGTCCCCAACCTTCTTCAGCAACCTCTTGTTGTTTCCTTTAATGGGTTTCCTTCCTTCCACTCCTAAGAATACAAAAAACCACCCAATTGAGCCAAATCTTCAAAACCCATCAACACAAATACACCACAGAAGTCATAAATACTATAAACAGTAAAATCTCAGAACAGAGTTGAAAGAAAAAGAAAATTATACCTGTAATAGATGCCCTTGTCTTCATGGGTGAGCTAAAGCCGTGAGGTGGATGAGAAATTAGAGGAGCAAACATGTAAGAGTCAGAAATGAGATAGTCTATGACTTTCTTGAGCAGTTTCTTCTTATTACGCTTAATGGGTCTTTTCTTTTGAACTTCTAGCAACATTTTCTTCTCCATAATTCTTTTCTCTGGTTTTGGTTTTGGCTGTGGCTTGGGTTTCGGGAACAGAAAAGTGGAAATTCTTTGGTTCTTGGGGTTGGCTTTAGTTCGAACATTGTGGCGGTTGGAATTGTTGTGAACAGGTGTCTGCTAGTGAGAGCCTTTGGCGTGTCGTTTTGGCGCAGGGGGTTGGAAGAAACTGCGACGTGTGGCAAGGCCTTGCATTTAGGAAATTTAGAGGGTGGCAATGGAATGTTATAAATTTGGAGTTATTTATACTAACACCCAGTGAGATTTTTAATTTTTTTCACAAAAATTCCTAGGATTTTAAAAATTACACGAACACCCCCTGAGGTTTCAGATTACCCGTTTTCGTTAATTGTTCGTCCACAAATTGATGATTCAATTCAAAAAAAGTATGCAAATGAAAAAATTAACCTCAATGAAAGGTTAACTCTGTCATTTGGAGAAATTTTTTTATATATAAAATCATCAATCTTTGGATTAAAAATCAACAAAAAGGGGTTTTGTATAAACAATTTAAAACCTTAAAGAGTGTTCATATAATTTCCAAAACCTCAGGGGGGTTTTGTGAAAAATATGAAAACCTCAAAGGGCTATTAGTGTAAATAACTCTATAAATTTCAAAAACTAAAAACGTGTTTGGTAACTAATTACAGTTTTTAAAAAAAGTGACAAGTGAAAAGTGGACAACGGTGGTTTGGTAACTAATTTCAGTTTTATGTGAAACTTGGAAATTAAATTTTTTGAGGTCAAATTGTGAATTTGATAACATAGAATGAAAATGCATTTTACAAAGAGTTCGTAGTATTTTTCGGTAAATTTTTTGGAATTAGGATGAGTTTTTTGTGAATTTTGGATATGGAGTTTTAGAGACTTGGATTGGGTTCGTGGCCAAACACAAGAATCGAGAGGCCGGATCCAAGAAGAGAGGTCCTGTGAAGACCCGTATTTTAAATGGATAAAAGAATATATTTATCATTTGGATAAACTTGGACGATATTATCTTTTTAAGATATTTATCTTTTGGATAAACTTGAATGATATTATCTTTTTAAGATATTTATCTTTTGGATAAACTTGGATGATCTTATCTTGTTAAGATATTTATCTTTTGGATAAACTTGGATGTTCTTATCCTTTTAATATTGAAGTTTATCATATCCCTATAAACACTATAAATAGGAGCATAACCTTATAGTTTCAAAACATGAGAAATTAGAAAAGAAATTTAGAGAGAGAGAGAGAGAGAGAGAGAGAGAGGTGATTCTTGGAGGAGATTTAGGGCTTAGCTTGTATTTTCTTAACTTGGAGCAATGCTTTGGAATCGAGGTAGGGGTTTCTTGGAGGCTTTGACGGGGATTGATCTAATTAAATCTCGTGAGCACTATATTATGCATGATATTATTATTTGAAAGGCATAATTATATCATGTTATGGAAATTGGCTGGAATTCTTGGGTGGATAAAGAAAGTATGGAAAAGAGGGTAATGGGAAGGATCTTTTGTGTAGTTGAGTCTAACTCTTGGCATGTACCAGGTCTCAGGGATCCCACAGTGCACATGATTTTTATTAGGTGATTCGGGACTGGCGACAGGGAGTTAGACATGATGACTAACAAAATGGGAAATTATGATATGATTGAGATGGGTGTTAGTTCATATAAATGGGCATTCGGGACCAAATGGTATAAGCATGGTATGGGACGTGCAGGTCTGCTTGTCCAGTTATATGAATTAACGGGAGTAGATGAAGAGCATTCATTCATGTATTATTATTAATGTGATATTTGGTTGTGTGATTGCATGTCACTTAATTTAGTTATATCAATTTACTGTGGTAAGGTCTCATGTCCCTACTAAGCAGTGGTTGCTCATCCCTCACCCTGTTTAATTTTTTAGATGAATTAGTGGGTAAGATAAGAACTAAATCGGTTGAAACTGAATTAGATGAGAGTGATAGAGCTTTATTTATTAATTGTAAAATTGTAAGATTTTGGATCTATTTTTATAAGAGAAGTTTATTTTAAACCCCTGTTTCGGCTTTTATTTATTTTATTTTATTTTTTATTTTCTCACTCACCGGGCGCTGGGTTTCCATCTACCCCCGGGTTCGGGGCGTGACAAGTCCCAAACAACGAGTTTTGGTAACTGGAGTGCATTTAATATGTGGTGATGTATAATTAATGAATTAAATAGGTCTGAAAAGGAAATGAAAATGAAAACTAAGGGTGATTTTTAAAAATAAGGGTTATTTTGAAAATTGAAAACGAAATCTGTCCCCCAACATGTTTTTCAGTTTTTAATTTTCAATAAAAGTGAAGATGAAAACTGAAAAATCAAACGAAATGATTATCAAATAACCCCTAAATAAATATGAAAACAAGAAAGATGTGTCAAAAAAATCAAATACAATTTCCCAAATCTTTGACACATCTTTCTTGTTTTTTTTTTCTTGAAAAAATAAAAGAAAACATGATTCATTCTAAACACGGTTAATTATTTAGGAGAATTATTTGTGAAAAAATAGGAAGAAGGAAAAGTACTTCTATATATTTATCTTTTACACTATTATATAAAATCAAAATTTAATTGTTAGTGTAATGTTTAGATTTCTAAAATATTATCGATTTATCTAATTAGAAGAAAAATTCATATGATTTCTTTTATCATCGAGTACAATATCATCAAATAAACTTAAAGACGTGTAATCACTTGCAAACCACATGTATTTTGTAAATTTGAAACCTTTCAGGTCAAAAATGTATTTGAAGTGCAAGTAATGTGATTTAAATATAAAGATGAACTTATATATGTTCCCTCAGAACCGACTGCATAAATGATTTGGGCCTGTTCGGCCCCATTACTTCGTGGGCCTCCTTAGGCACAAAATGATTGATTTGGGGCCTTCTTTTGGCCTTTTGGGCCCTATCACTTCACCTAGTGATGAGGGAGGGTTTGGTTATTTTTGTTAGGCCTAGTCCTGTATCAACATATTTTATATCTCCCCCTTTCTCTCTTTTCCCTCTTTCTTCGACAACAACGAAGCCCACCCTTCTTATCTCTCCCTTTTTTTCTCTCTTTCCCCCCCTCTTTCTTCAAGAACCAAATCCAGATATGGGTTTTTTAAAAAAGTTTTCGAGTTTGAGTGTGGCTCGGCTATCAATCGTGGGGGCAGTGCAGTGGTGGATGGTGTGGGTGGTAGTGGGCGGTGGGGCTGGAGTGCAGAGATGGGTTGAAATTTTTTTGTTTTTGTTTTAAAAATATTCATTTTAAAGAATTCATCCATCCATTGAAAAAAAATATATTGAAAATAGAGCTCAAGTTGGAAAATTAAGTAAAAAGGAAAAGAAATAATATAAAAGAGAAGTAAAAATAAATTAATGCAGGTAAGGGTAGAATAGGAAAGAGAAAGAACAAAATTGATTAAAAAATAAAAAAGAGTGTAAATGGAGAAAAGGGGAGTGGGAAAATCATTTTTAAAATGGTTTATAAAAAATATTTTATAAAGTTTTATAAATCAGTTATTCTCCTATGCGGACGTTGTGACGTTCATTTCCTTTACTTTAAAGTTTTTTTTTTAATGGTTTATAGTTTTTAATTTATTTTTTATTTAATCCACGTGGCGTCATATAATTGGATATGTGTAGTCATCAATTTAATATATTTTTGGACAGAACTTGATGGTAAAGACTACTTGTGAGCGCACATATTCACCTTAAGAATCACGAATGACTCAAAAAAAACATAAAGTATGCAATATGATAGTTTTGTGAATCCCAGGGGTGTTTTGTGATAAAAAAAAACCTATATATACACCCCAAATGACCAAAACTTTAATTTAATTAAAAAACAATTTTATCCAAAGTTGAAAATCTATAACTACCTCTTTATTATGTTCCAAATGTGACTTTTCTTTCTTCTAGTCAACACAAAGATGCAAATTTCTAGTATGTAAGAACGTAAAAGTAGAAGGGTCTCTTTGCTTCATTCAGGTATAAAGAGTAATAACCAGTAGTACATATATCATACAGCCAAGAGCTTTCGTAATTCACTCGGATATGTTGTTACACAGTGATATTAACTTTGCTTGATGAAACTGGCTTTAAACCATGTTTTAGAGCAGCCTTCCATACTATGTCAATTCTGTCGACATCAAGAGCCCCAACTTCATGGTGAGTCCAGCCTTCTAGCAGATGAACCACGCCACCAGCATGACATGCATGAACCACTCCTCTGTCCATGGTGTACTACATTGCATTTTCCAATATTACCAAAAATTATCGTCAATGATTGATAGGTTATAAAATTGATAAAAAATTTAGACGACATATTACGAGGATATATGTGATTATGTCACATAATGAGGTGGCTAAAGACACTATTAGTGCCTAATAGCAAATTGACACGAATAACCGTGAATGTTAGCTATTAGGCATTTGTACGTAGTACTTTTAGCCATCTCATTTTGTGTCATAGATGTCGGTGGCTATTAAATGCGCCGACCATGTAAATCAAGCCAATGTTATCCAACAATACAAAAATCTTAATTACTAATAAGAAAAGAGCTTAGTTACCTCACAGGAGCCAAGCCCTTGAACATCATCAGGTAGTCTCATGGCTGCAAGATCACCATAAGTGCAGTCTCTTCTGAAATGCAAGATGGGTGGCACAACAAACTGATGAAAATGTGCACCACTTGGGGCCCAACGTTGCTCTCTTGGTGTAATCCATTTGCCAACAATCCATGCCTGCCATTAATTGGTACCAACAATAGTTCATATTAATTAGACTCACAAACAAATACTCATGCTTTATTTTTGTATTTCATATAGAAAACGATTGCAAATAAATAATTAACCCTGTTGGCGCTTCCTTATAATCGCTTACCTTACAATTGCGGGCAGCTTGGTACTTTGTGACTTGGACAAGGTAGTGTTGGCAATCTGCTGGCGCTTCCTTCTGAATCTTTTGAAATCTCTCTGTTGATAGAGTCAGCATCTGAGCCATACATCATTGATTAATTAATAACCCCATGAAAAACTACAGCAATTAATCAATTTCCTAGAAGCACCTAGACTTTTTTTCAAGGAAAAAAGTGCTTCTACAGAAGAAGTGCAAAACATGCCCTAACATGAACACATGATCACCTTCAGAAGTAAATGAGGAAAAAGGAAATAATATACTTACAAGGACTCGAACTTTCCTACGGCAAAGGTAGAGGGCAATGGCTCTTCCAAGCTTGGAGGTAGCTCCACTTAGAAACACCTCTTCGACATCCTTCGGGATCTCGTTGAGAATAACAGCTGCAGTTAAGGTGTTCCCATGGACAACTCGAACTCTAAGGTCTGGATGCTTGTTCACAAAGAGTGTTCCGCCCCCATTCAGTCCTTCGTTCTACATTAAGAAAATGAACAGTTAAATATTTTTAATTTGAATTTGGAGCCATAACTATAGCCCGACCTTTTTTTTTTTGCTTTCCAAATTTAAGGACTAACAACCTCAACCTCCTACTCATGTCATTCATCTTGCCCGCAACTTGTGGGAGGATGTTACCTCTCCTGCTAGGTCAGGTCAAGAACATGAATGACCTAAAGTTTTGGTAACAATAACAATAATTAAATAAAATTAACGACGCTTTTTATCTTCGAAACCATATTCACATTTTTTATATTCGACCAAAACAAATTTCATATTTTTAATATGGTAAAGTGGCATTTGGTTGGTGCATTGTTGTTTAGGTTTGTCGTACTTTTTTAGTTCCAAAGCATCCATCACGAGTCTTAAATGCTAATGTTATGTGCAGCAAAAACATGTGCATTCGTTTTCGGTGTGGGGTGTTTGGCAGATCAGAAATTTCATTCAGAGAGTTAATATTAGTACGGCCGGGGCCAACAACCAAACTCAGAATTCATAATACTGGATTAAATATTTTGAATTCCGAAAGAAAACGAATACCAACCTTATTTAATGCAGCAAGGCTGATGACCTTGACTCCCATCTTGTCTGCTCTAAGGATTGCTTGCTCTATTTGCTTATTGATACCGTCTAGGGCAAATGGTAAAAAGTACTGCAAGGTAAAAAAACAATTTTTTTATTTATAGAAAAACATTGCATTAATTAAAATCACAAAATCACAAAATTTTTATAAAAATCTTACGAGGGCAAACCTGAAAGCCATATCTAGGCACAGCCCATGTCTGGTGCAAGCGGCCTCTGAGGTTGTAAAAGGTAATTAAAAAAGCTTTAGCCCATGCCCACATTGCTAGCATGGCTGTTATGCTGCCAGGCCAGAAACCCACCACGAAGAATCTCATGGTGAAGGGCAGTGATGAGAATGATCGGAGAACAAACGGCACGTGCATAGCAGACGACAGATCCACCACGTGTGCGAGGAAAACGAAATCCGGTGCCCTCCCATTTTTACCTGCAACATTAAGGATGAAAATGTGCAAAGTTTTCAGTGACCTTTCTGTTATTGTCCATGCATTAATAATTTATTAAAGTTGAGAGGCATGCATGGTCAATCTTTGTCAACGAATTATGACCATATTATTTTGGACATCACTTGTAGGACCTATGAATAATATTCAACCTTCCCATATTGTTTTGTTACAAGATTTCTTATGATGTCAATGTCACTATGAAAAAAGAAGAAGAAAAAAATTAGGATGAAAGTAACTTTTAAATTATCCACCTGCATTTAAGCTTATCTCTTTGTGTAGTCCCCATGATTTGCTGTTCAGGGTCTTCCCCACTGCATCAAAGAGAGGCATAAAAAGGCAGAAATTGGTGTCCATTTCTGTATGGTGCAGGCTGTGGTATCTGCAAGACATAAGAAACTGATTTTTAATTTACTAAATTGGTGCATGAAAATTACCATTTTCAAGGTAAAAACACCCAACAAATTTTAAAATAAAAAATAAAAAAATTCATTTATTACCTAAAAGTTATTTTTCCCATTTACAGTAAGTTTCCCATTTACAGAAAAAAGTTTCATTTCCTTCTCTTCTGGAGGCAACATACACTATTTAAAGATTGGGCTTCTTTTTTGGGTTTGAAGGTACAAAAATATGTCATATGAAGATGAAATTAGTTAAAAGTATGCATTAATTTATATATAATTGTGGGTACTTACGTTGGAGTGTAGAGAATATATCTGAGAAAGGGAGCTTTCTCAAACAGTTTATGAGAAATCACTTCAACATTGGAATGCCCCAAACATCTCAGAAAATCAAAAACCAAAACATATCCGTAGATCACGAAGATTGATCCACAACCCATCAGAGTGCTACCAAGAACTGGAATTCCAACAATTGCACTTAAAACCAGATGCTCCAGAAGTGTTGCACTTCCAGCTGAACAATAATATTAACAAAAATAATTAATAAATTAATCAGTCAAAATAACTAAAGGGACGAAGAAGAAAAAAAAAAGAAGAGAATTTATAAGTCGGTGCTCATATTAATGATCTTACCTGTAAAGGGCTGCGGTACTGGAGAGGAATGGTGAAGTGAATGGTAGTTTTCAAAAAAGTAGTTGCCATGGAAACGTCTATGCATCCAGTAATATAAAGGCTCTGAAACTCCCACGTGCAGTACCAGTGTAGAAATAAAGCCGATTGTGTTCCACAATGGAAGGTTTTGAAGAAATGGAAGCAAATAGCAGGCCGTGGAGGCAATTAGACCTTGGAGAATTATGAAATTATCCCTGCCAATTTTTTTAAATTTTATATAAAAAAAAGTAAAAAAATTTGATCCAAAATTAAATTAAACAAATCAATAAATAAAAGTGAAAATATATATGAATTGATTAATTACCAGTCCCATTCCTTGTCAATCTGCTTGAAATCAACCCCTTGTTGGAGAATCCGACGAGTTCTTGTTAGGAAAAGCATGTTGGTGTAACTACTCCATAGCTGATGAACTAAGCCTCTAAGTGCACATATTATGAGAATATTTAGACACCAGCTGTTCATGAGGACCTTGAGGGGATCCTCATGAATTATTGAGTACGAGGCTTTTCCAATCAGAGGTCCAAACAGCAGATACTAATTTCCAAATCCAAAAACAAAACCAGACCCAAATCAGTAACAAGCTATTAAAAGATGCAGAAGATGTAAAATTTAACAGAAAACAAATATATTGGATCATGAAGATTAGTTTCTATACCTTGTAGGAGCCTAAGAACTCCCAAGGCCAAGCAGTCAAAGGAGCAGCCATATTTCACCCTACAAAAACAAATCTTCTCTACAGGTTTCTGATGATCTATAACCAAAATCTGTTTTTCTTTTTCTGATCAAAGTCACACAAAGATGGTTGGAGAGAGATGATAAAGAGCTGACAGGACTAGCTGGCTGAAGAGAGAAAGATCTCAAGAGATTTTATCATCACCTTGCGTTTTGAAATTGGCTAGCAAAAAATTGTGCGGCTCTCTACTTCTTGCCTGCACAACTTTAATTAGATGAATCTCTCTCTCTCTCTCTTGGAAGATACATGTGGTGTTATGTTATGGCACAAAGTTAGTCAACAAAAAGCCTTTATGATTCTCTTTTTCTCCAAACCCTCAAGGCACTTATATAGATCAAAGAATCAAAGGATGCACATCAAAGACAGTTAGGGCTCTTAATCAATTTCTATTTTTTATTCATATACATGTAGCTTTGCTTCTTCCTTGTCCTGCTATATGTCAGCTTTTGGACGGTCGCAGTCACCTCCCCAACCCCTTATAAGGCTCTTGTTGTATTCTATGAACTTCTACGCGTTCTCATTTTCACACCATATGTGATGAAAACTGACCACAGCTGTAGAGTGATGGCCTAATAATCCCACCCCCTAGAACAATTAATGCCTCATATGGTTGGGAGCTTGGGAGTGGGCGATGAGCTTTTGCCCTGTCTGGGTTGTTTTCGTAATTTCATAATCTGCTGTGACATTTGCTTTCATCATCAATGTTAAGGTAGCATCAGACCTCAGTTATTAATGAACAATGCTAGCCCTTATTGACATGAGCAGTCTGGTGTTAAAGAACCAAGGGTACCGTTGGTAAATTCCCAAGTCATTTATATGTTAGGGCAAGAGTATATCAAAGTTTACCTAATATTTGAATGCCTTAACCCTAAATAATGTACATGTACATTCAACCAAAAAAGAGAAAAATTGTATATGTACTTGTACTCTATCGTATACTCAACCTGACCCCTCGTGTCGATCCATTATGGATCTAGCTCGAAAAGGCTCAACCCAAACACTTCATTTTTCATGCGTGTTCATGTCCTGTTATCGTGTCGTTGTAAATGATTCTTCTAGATCTAGTAGAGTGGTCGTCAGGTGCAATATATTGAGTAAGTGTGTGGTAGAAATCATTTAATACATTTCTCACATCAATAATATTTTGACTTCAACAGGTCGATATTGCTTAAGTTTCACTTTCATAGGAGATCTTTTCTAAGATTTGAAAAAGAAAGTCCGCTAAATGAAAAAAACAATTGATCGAGTGATGATAATTTTCTTATGAACGTTGACACATATCTCATGTTCAAATCCCCTCTTTTCGTTGATAGGAAAAGATAACAAACATACGTTCCGGAATAAGTCTATTTTGTATTTTATTTACATGGCGATGAACACCAAGAAAGGACAGAATAGGCCGATGGAATAGGAAACACATTAATGCAACTTTCTTGCTTGGAGTAGGTCGTTGACATTAAATATGTGATGGCTTTGCCTAGCCAAGTTTGACTATAAGACTTGATTTGGTTGAAATACTGGCAGGCTTTCTACCATCGCTCCAACTAACTGAAGGGAAATTAGACTGAGTTAGTTGTATTGGACCAAACAGAAAGGATTTAGTTGTAAGTAGAATACTTCTGGAGACACAATTCCCACCACTCTAGCAAAGTTTTCGATTAAATGGGAGCCACCGCCCCCTGATTGGCTAAAGATTAATTTTTATGGCTCTGTTCGCAACAATATGGCTGCAGTTGGTTTTATCATTCGTGATGCGGATGATCATCTTTTGGTGCGTAGCAGGTGCGAAGAATATGGAGTCTTCTATGACGGTTGCTGAATGTCTTGCACTTGGAGATGGCTTAGCCTATGTTATTCAAAATGGATGACGTAGGATATATTGGATATGTAGTTGTATGAGAATGGCTAGGTAAGATAAAAGATGCTTCAAGATGTGTATGAATATGGACGGACTCAAGATTTCAAAATGAGGCAGGCTAAATTTACCTTACGTACAAACCTTCTAAAAGGATAAATTATTCGACAGTACGAGTGAATTTTATTGATAACAAAAAATATAGAGGGGGACATAATGAGCCCCTCAAAATGCATAGTACAACCTTAAATAAAAACAACATTAAACTAAAAGAAAAAAGCCGTTAGTTTTTTAATACAAGTGATAGTTTAAAGGGGGAGGAGGTTTCTCACACACACATATACTAATAAATAATATATTCATAATGATGTTGAGAAATTAATAAAAAATATACAAGCAATTAATAAATAATTTTGTGAGTACAAGATTAAGCGAAATTAAAGAGTGGCAAATGATTTTGGTGGTGTGAAGATTTTGAAGAAATATGTGGGTTTTATAGGGAAAATTGAATAGTACAAAAACTTTACTAAAAGAAAGAAAATTGAAGTTAGTAGTAATTTTCAAAAATTTGTCATTGATATTCATTGCACTAATAGTATTGAATCATGCTTGAGTAGTTGGAGCAGCTTCAATGAGGGTGAGTATTACTTTTTAAAACTAATCGTTGGATGAGCAAAGGTTGGTTGAGTGCATGGGCGCTGATGAGTGAGTAGATATAGCAGCTGCGTTGATGAGCGAGTAGATATAGCAGTTGTGCTGAGGAGAGTGAAGTAGCTCCTGAGAGGGGGGGTGTGGGGTGTGCTTGGGTGGGCTAAGGTATTACGTTGTGCTATAAAAAAATCAAATCACCTGGGCTATAGCCCAGGTTAGCATGTGTATAAGTCCGTCCCTAAGCAAATAGGGTTTCTCTTTAGCGACAAAGTTACTCTGAATTTGAGCTGGATGGGGATGACTTATGTGCCCAGTACTTCCCGATTTTGCTTGGCCTTTGTGGGAAACTAGAATGATGTTGACCTAGCGATTTTGGGGAATGTTCAGCAGAAGAGCTTCGACGTTATATATGACATTGAAGGAGGAAATGTTGGATTTTCTCCCTTAGGATGTGCCTGAGCATGTACATTCAACTATAGCTTCTAGTTAAAAATACTACATATATATACATATATGATTGCTTAATTACAAGGAAAATTTGATTCAGCTATCTAATGTTAAATCATTATTGACAATGATCAATCGGTATTTTCATATCTCTGCTACTTATTATGGAATAAAAACTAGGGAACATTGTCAATAGGGTCTAACCCAGTGGAAAAGAGTATTGATATGTAAACTAGTGGTCTCGACTCTCAAGTTCGAACTCTCATAGCACCTTGGTAGTGTGTGTGAGAACTGCGGCGTCCTCCTTGGCTTTTCCCCTTCAAATTATTTTTTTCTTACTTTGTAACCCATCCTTATTAATCTCAAAACAAAAAACTAGGGAAAATTAGAATTCCTATTCCCATTTATTATATTTTAGATTAAACACCTTTGGCTTTTGAATTTGGACTAGAGGACTTTGAGTTTGATCCACACCAACATTACATAATTAAGATGGTATGCATGCCATTATTTTCCTGTTATTTATTAAAAAATTCTTATTTATTCGTTTCCAAATTTGACCCTTTGCTCCTGAGAATGTTTTTTAAGGCACATTAAAACGTTGTGAACGTCTTGATTTCTAATCATGGATTGGATCGCTAAAGTTATCTTCAATTTTTAAAAAAAATATTACTAGGGACCTTGATTTCTAATAATGGATTAGATCGCTAAAGTTATCTTCTTTTTTAAATTACTATAATAGGTTCAAATGTGTCTGAGTTTTTTGGTGTGTTTGTTTTTACAGTAATGCTATGAGCACTAACTAATTTACTAACATTTTAATACCAACTGATGTGGCACATGACATGGCAATCCATGTCACTTGCCACATCATCTATTTGAACTTGCTTTAATTTTTCTTTAATCTTTTATCAACTTAATTTTCTAATTAGCTTTTGAGTCCTACTCAAGAACCACATGCAACGACTTCGCCCATCATCGCACCGATACTATTGTATATCACCACCACCACAGACTCACAGTGCCGCCACCACCAGGCCCAATCATGAAACTTGAAAACTAACCATTCAGAGCCGCAAAACCTCCGCATTGACTTTCGATGATATGCAATCAACTAATTATTCTTCAAATGTATTTATTGTGGTAGCAAATTTCTGCCTGAGTGAAATAAATGAAGAACTTCACTCCACTTTAAATTATCTTCAAAAATTTCCTGCAAAACATCAGTTCAAAAAAATAATCTCAGGGAGATAGGTATTTTTCATGAAAGGTGTAGGAGAATTTTCAGAGAGAGAGAGAGAGAGAGAGAGTGTGGCATGCGAAAGAGGGAGAAGCGTGTGAGTTGCTTCTCTAGCCAAAATCGAATTAGGGTTTGGAATTCTAGGGTTGAGTTTCGAATTATCTCGTTTGGTGAATATCCTTGGCTATATATGAGAAATATCATGTAGCCACCTTTGGAATAAAAAAGGAATAATTCCTTTAGATTGAAGGATATCTTGGAGATTGAATGCAATGAGGATCTCTTGATTTGTGGAGATATTATCTACTTATTGTTATAAAAAATATAGTTTTCCTTTTCCGTAAAGCCAAATACAAAAACATTTATATTATAAATAACTTATAAATAAATTGGAAAGCTTTTAAGGTACAATGAAATTTAAGAAAATAAAATAATAGGTAAGAAAAAGCAAAATAAATAATAAGTAAGAAGGTGAGTTTGGTACGGTGAAGCACGTCAAAGACGCTGTCTTAAAACCTTTGTAGTTTCCCTACGTGCAGGTATTGACGGTCTACAAGACTCCAAGATACGACCCCTTGTACACAAACTCAAGATTTGCTATGAGCACGTTCAAAGACGGATATGGGTATCCAAGTCACAGAACCATTGCCAAAATAATAATATAAAGTAGAGAATATATATAAAAGTAGAAAATAAGAGAATTAGTTTATGGTGGTGATTGTGGTATGTGATATTCTGATGGTGTACTGTGTGTGTTTCAAATGTGAAGGAGTGGCCTTTTATAGGCATCCAATAACATGTAATCTTCACCAACCACAAAAGTTCACCAACCACAAAATTAAGGCATTCAATATTGAAATAAAACCTGAATATTAAATATTTATAATCTCCACAATAAATAAAATAAATAGCCAAATAAATTAAATAAATAAAACGGTTAAATTTTTAAAACCTTTTTAAAATTCCAACACTTTATGCCCATTAATAGGCTAAATAAATGAGGATTGAATCAACATAATTCATGTGACCTAGGGCAAGTTTGACCTTTGTTCTTATTTCCACGTTGCGTCACAAGAGTGGTCGAGAAAATATTGGCTCCCACAAATGCCCCCTAGCTTATGCATGTCACATGTGGGGCATGTAGGAGATATAATAATTGGGCATTTTGTATTCTGTAAATCCCAATTGTTGCTGGACTTCGTGTAAAGAAAGGATCTTTAAATTCCTTCTTGATGTTGGACTCCTTATAAAGAAATGATCTGGAAATTCCTTCTTGACCAAGAATTCCCAAGGGATATAAAAACCCTTGCTCTTCGTCTTGTTGTCGCATCCACTATTTAATTTCTTCTTCTTTCTGGCTTGCGGCAAGGACAAGAGACAAGGGAGTTGAACTTTGTACTTTGAGGACAGAGCCGACTCCCCCTAGTAAGCCACAACTTTTTTTTTTCTTTCTTATTTTGTTTGAAGCTGAGACCAATTGAATGTGGTGTTGAGGTTGGCAGTTTCACTATGCTAGGATTGGTTGGCGGTTCCATCATGCCCAATGTTTTTTTTCGCCATCTGGTTCTCCCAAGCTGAGCCCAATTGGCTGAAAAAAAAAAATTCTCAGCCAGCTGACTGGTTTCCCAATGCTGAGGCCAGTCGTCCGATTCTTCTTACCACCATCGTGGGTTGTTCGGCAAGATTTTCTCCTTCTTGTGGTTTTTATTTTGTAGTTCTGACCATCTTCCACCTTTTACAGTTGTTGTGATACCATGTCGTCTGATGAAGGAAGCTGATCATCTTATTCACAAGTTTCCTTGTATTTGCTTGGCGGATATTATGCTTACAGAAAAGGATTCATAGCCAACCTGTATCGTGTCAATGTTGAGGCACAATTCTAAAGGTGGTGATCTCAGTTCTTTGCGGCCTTCTCTGCTAGTGTGAATGTGCGCTTGGTTGAAATGCTATCCGATGATGTGGAACATGCGGATTGAGTGATCCAAATGCGAGGATAATCACGTTCCGTCCATTCTACATCTCTTTGGGATTCAAGTTCCCCATGTCGAGATTTTTCAAGGAAGTGTTTCATACCATGGGGTGTTCTTCATGTCAATGTACTATGAACGTTGATTGTGTTGTAATGTGCTTTGAAAACTTTAGCGATTTTTTCAAGTTAAATTTGACCTTTCAAGCTTGTCGATTTCGGTTATGAAGCTTGGAAGCTTATGGCAGATGACCTATGGGTCAATGCCAGGCATGTCGGAGGGTGACCATGTGAATACATCTTTGTTGTTTGGAAGGAAAATGGGCAGCTCCAATTTCTCTTCTACGCTGAGTCTCGAGCCAATTTGTGCTTTCCTCTTAGGCTTGTCAAGATCAAGAGTTATAAGTTCGACATCCTCTTCGGGTTTCTATCCTTCTTCAGTTGAGGACTCAAGGCATACCCCTTCTTCTTGATCCTAGTTCGGTAGTCGTTGATATTGAAAAGTGGCAAGCCCTTTCCCTTTCTCTTCTGCTGAAGTGATGGGAATGAACTCTGCTCCCTTGCTACTCTTTAGTCCTTGGGCTGAGCACCTTTTTGACATTGCTTGATCACTGTTGATTTGCCCAATATTAACCCCAAAGATTGGGTAACGTATCTTTTCATGCTTGGAAGAAGAGACGGCATTTATCTTGCTCAACCATGGTTGATCTAAGATGCCATTGTAAGGAGAGGTTGTCTTAATGATCATGAAGCTCTGTGCGCTAATCACTGGTGGAGAATAGACATCTAGAACTATTGTGCCCACAACAATCGAAGTTGATCCGTGGAAGCCTGTTAATGGTCTAGCGAAGTTGATGATCAGACTTTCAAGGCCCATCTACTGGACAACTGATATTTGCATTATGTTGCTGCATTTTCTTCATCTACATGAATTCGGTCAAACATAGCAGAATAGTGAAGAAGATCACACAACAACCAAAGCAAATAAACGTGGGTTGAGAAGCTAATTTGATGTTTTTTCTCGTTTCTCAAGGTGAAAATCTCAGTTATTTTTAGTCCTAACTAATTCAACATGTCAAGGTCTTCTTATGGAGGGAGCTTTGATTAAAGTTTTTTTTAAAATAATTAAATAATGTATTTGAGGGGGTAGTTTAATAAGGCCTATCTCACATTGTATTTTAATAATTCAAAATTTTTTAAGTCTATATTAATTTTTTTTGTTGTTGCAAAAATCACTCAAATTGGAAGGCTGTATGAGCATGTCTAATGCAAGGGCAAGGGGCAAGGGACTAGGTGCTATTTTAGCCCCTCGAAATGGTATTATTCACAAAATATAGCCTGTCAAATTTTTTTGTGATTCTAGTGGTAAGGGGCTAGGGGCTAAAACTCAAAACTTCTTCTTTTAGTTTATTATTATTTTATTGGTGATAAAAACACTTATTTTTCATCTTCATTGTGAAATGATAAGAAAAGATATCCAAGTGTTGGATTTTGAAGTATAGAAATGAGTATATGTGAGAAGAAGATGAAGAAAGCCTATTTATTGAGGTTTGAATGTGGAAATGTAAAAAGGATAAACAAGTAAATATGTTTGGAGTATATTAAAAAAAAAAAAAAAGGGGGGGTAAAAAAATGCTGAACTAGTTGTTGGACTAAATAAAAAAGGCTGAACTTAAATAAATAAATAAAACCAAAAAGCCCAGCAACTAGCCATTCCATTCTATTGTCATTGAGGGCGCCATGTGGCAGCTTCTCATAGGCTATTACATTTGGAAAAGTCAGCTTTGCTACGCACTTTTTTTTTTCTTTTCAAAAGCTGACTGTGGGACCACTCTTGCCCGGGCTAGCACTTGGGCAAAACTAGCCCCTCATCTTGCCTTAGGCCAAACTGGACTGGACCAAACACATGCATTAGAAAGTGTCTTTTTTCAATTGAGGCCAGATATGGACCTAGCCTAGGTCATATCAATCCCATTAGACAGGCTCTAAGTAGTCATTTTACCGTTTATATGAAATCATTTTGTTCTAGTTGTTTCATCACAAGTGGTTTACAGTTTGTCAAATTTATGTATAAAAATTATCTATGAATGAAGATTTTAAATATATATAAACATTTCATATATAATTGAAATACGATGCAAAGTATAATTGAAATACGATGGAGAGTGGATCCAACCAGATGTCTATCAAATAACCTTTTGAGAAATTGAGAGAACCCTGAATAGAAAGAGACTCTTGTCTCATCCCTTAGTTTTTCCTTTTTTGATAAATGCAATATTTTAAACTATTCTAATGTATGAGGAGGAGGGGGTTCAAACTCGGGTGCAAAGGCATACTCTGAGCCAGCTGACCTAATTAACATTTGCTCTCAAGCATTTTTAATGGAACTTTAGTGGTACTTCATCATCCACATCAGCCGTAGTTATCTTCATCAACCTTAATTATCTCCATCAACTTAATCATGTCTGTCATCATAGGCTATGTCTTCTTCATGTGCATAAAAGAAAATTTAACTTTTATTTTGTACTTTTATTTTTCCCAGCCAGTGTTTTTTTTATTATAATGAGAGGGAGCTGCTGTATTTTATAAGAAAGGATTATAAGGAGTACATGATGATCATTTTGCACTCATTCCTTACTTTTATTTTTTAAATCTTATTTTATTTATAACGCTTTTTATGAAAAATTCTATAAAAAATAAAAATAAATAAAAGTAAAAAAATGAGTGAATGATAGCTATTTTGCACTTTGTCAATACACACAATTATTCTTTCAATCCTTTGAATCGATATGGTACCATATCCAGGTTGACCCTCGAATGTTCCATTGGTGTACAGTACAGAGGTGATCCACGCGGTGCATGCATGTTTCCGGCTGCCACTAAATCATGCCTTAGTCGCTAAACCAACTAGATTGTGTAATGCTAATTTATACTTAGTAAATGACATCAAATACTATATGGTAAAGATACATCAAACTAGAGGAGGTTGAAACTCAATTGTGACGGTAAGTGGAGAAATGAGTTAAGATTAAGATTGATCGAGGTTTCATTCCATCTATTATTATAAAAAAGATTTTAAAAAAAGGAGGTTGAATAAAATTTCTTGTCAAATATTGATAAGAGAAAGAAACTTAAAATAGCCATGACAAAATCCATAGGGAATTCAAACTGAAAACCTAGTAAGAAATTCTAGTAAGTCCAAATTTAGGGATAGTGAAAATGACAAGCCATGTTACAAGCGGTTGCGTTTTGGCCACCATTAAAGGAACACGAGAATCACAAGTCCTTAGTTTTATTTTTTTGGGACGAAACACAAGTACTTAGTTTAATCATAATAGTTAAGGTAATTTTTGTGGCAGAAGTGGTTCTTCCAGATCAATTTTACAGCTCGTCTTCTCTAAAGAGTCATCAATGAAGACTTCTATCGTTTTCGGCTGATCAGAAGGCTGCTCCGAATCTACCTCTTGTTTCATCTTTTGGGGGTCTTTGGCTTTGCCCCATATCACAACATATAAGCCAATTATCACAGCAATAGCACCCACCAAGCTGAGTGAACCAAAGGAGGAAACTTTCTTGACAATTGAAGGATACGTTTGAAAATTAAATATAGCTGAAATTGTGAAAAATAATATATTACCTTCCCAAATATAATTCTTCATGTAGAAACAGACCCGCTACAATGGTCGTAATAACTGTACATAGGGGGCTGAACATGGCAACGTAGAGTGGACCTTTTTCTGATATACACCAGGTTTGTATGAAAGAGGACACAGCAGCATAAAATCCCTATTAAGTTAAAAGTTCCAAATAATGCAGCCATGTAGATGAGAACCTCAAATTAGTACTTGTTAGTACATTTAATTTAAACAGATGTTCAAGTGCGGACGTGAGCACTTTCGGCAGTGAGAGGTCAGGTGCCCGACCATATATTTCTGATTGTTTGCGGACTTTGAGAGGCCGATGGCCCTTTTATATAGTGCCGAACCAGTCTTTCACAATCCGCACTTGAACTGACATGTTTACTTAAGTACCTAGAAAATCCACACTAAAGATTTCTATTGTTTTAACAAAAAGAAAAAGTTTGGAGAACTGGCTACTTACTGCATATACTAAACTTCCAAGTTCAAGAGCTGAATGCATATGCCATACTTGTAGGTCATGCTCCAAAACAAGACAAACTATTGCTGATTGTATAGTTGCCAAGAAAGACATCCAGAAAGCTGAATATAGGTGGTCTGGACAACATGCTGAAACTGGGACCTATGTGCAAATTGAACACAATTCTTTATACTTTTGATTGCTTGAATTATATATGATGAATCAGAAGTTGGTGAGAATTACCTGCAGAATCACCCAAGTTGACGCAAAAACACTGTATAAAAATAGAAATAGACAACCCAGCTTCAAATTCTCACCCGCCATGTCAAAGAGAGATTTTGAGGGTTCAAACTCTGTGTTCAATAACTTCGTGCCTTTGATAAATGTCATGTAAATGGCTCCCCCAACACAGATGATTGTCCCTACTATCTTGGCATTACTTCTCACGCTTCTCAGATTAACTTTCTCGAATCTACAATAGAACAAAACAAATTCAGATCAAGTTCAGTCACTAATTTCTAACTTCTTGGCATAAATAACCTCGCTTACTTAATTTGACCAACAAAAAAAACCTTGCTTACTTAATTTGATTTCAATTATTTTATTCAAAGTTTCTGTTAGAATCGTGATTAGCCATTGCAATTGCAATAAGGGGTGGAGCCAGAAAACTCCAAATATGTCAACTGTGGGGCCACTACATGAATTTTTGTTTCAATATTTTCCTGAATGTGCTACAAAACCTTAGAATGGTACATAGAACTACATGTCGGTCGGGAGGCAAGGCCATCTCAGGCCTACGTACATGTGGCTCTGTGTACTATTAATCAATTTATATTGGGGAAAGAGTTTTTATATTTAAACTCCGATCTTCTCTTTGTTCACCCAACATTCTAATTTCGCCCTAACTTCTAATTAAAATTTTCACAATATCTAAGAAAATCCCACTTTCTTCCCAAACTACCCCTAAATACACACCCAGCAGAAAAAATAAAAATAAAAAACTCATCAACCTCACACCCCACACCCCACACCCCACACTCCCGCTATCTTGCCCCTCACCACTCTAAGTTCACCTCACCCTCACATTACTTAAAAGAGATAAAAATAATGTTGTCAAATGTGTAGCAGCATTATGTTATTTTTTATTTTTTATTTTTTAAAATTGAGAATGAACTAGGAAAAACGATGGATAAATACCCTACTGGAGATGCTATTAGTAGACACATGAACAAAAGGCAACCAGAGCATCTTGCTACTTCAAAAAATCAAAATTATATGTCAATTTGATCCACCTAACAAATTAATATTTCTATTGTCTGATTCGATATTTATACAATAGAATTTCATATTCCAATTCCATATTTCAAAATGGGAAAAGAGGGTGGTGGTCATACTTTACTAGTTTTTTTTTAAAATTTCAAACAGCAAAGGGTCATAATATCTTTGGATAAAACAAAATTCTCTTCAATAATCTTTGATAAAATAAAGGTGTAGAGGAGTTTGTGTTTTTTTAGAACTTAATATAAAGAGTGGTGGATGTGTTTATAGATGTACTAGGGTTAGGTATTAAGTTGAATGACATTTTTTTGTCTTTTTACACAATAATAAAACTTAAGAGCTTAATGATTTAAGTATTGGGGTGAACAAAGAAAAGTGTGGGGTTTAAATAGAAAAAATCTTAGGAAAATGCTAGGGAGACTACATTTATATAGACCATCTTGTGTCTCTAATAGAGCTGAGACCCATTATATTTGGTGGGCTCCATATATGTTAGAAAGGTGATACATAAATTTGTTATACGTAGGTTGAATATGACATAATTTTAAGAAACAAATAATAAATTAAAAAATGGTTACTAAGGTAATAACTCAATTTAGCCGATTTATTGTTATGAGTTGCAATACAAACACAAAGAGTTTAATGTGCGCTTACCCAACAACTGTGGCCAGTACAAAGGTGATTGCAGGAATCAGATTGGCCATTGCACTTGCTATTGTTGAAGAGGCTAAATACAGGCCCTCAAAGTAAGCATTCTGATTTGCAGTCACTCTGCGGAAAAATTATGTCACTGATTTTCAGCATCATAAGCTCCACAACAAATCCTAGTTATACGAGTTACTAGCAACTCGAAAACATGGATAATAAATCATTAGATACTTTACCCAATAAGAGAGGACAGAAATATTAAACAAAAACCCTTTAATCCCAAGGAAGCTCTGCATGGATTTCTCCTGCCAAAAAAATCAAGTATATATATATATATATATATATGAGAGAGAGAGAGAGAGAGAGAGAGAGAGAGAGAGAGAG